GGGAGGGGGGGCGGGGCGGCGGAGAAGGGGTGTCGTGTGGGGCCGGGAGGAAATATAAGATTTGGCTAGGAGCGCAGGGCGTGGGCATACATCAAATGGCGGGCGGGTGTGAGTACCGGACTCACCCCATTCCTGGAGCCAGAAAACCAATCTGTCCAGGGCGCAGCTGGAGCAGATGCAGGCAGGGGCGAGGGACGGGGACAGCTCATCAGTCCCAGTGGAGCTGCAGGGGACCTGGTTTCTGTGGCCTCAGTTCTTCTCCCCATGGATTGGCAGCAGCTGGCAAAGGAAGACAGAGTTTGGGGAGGGCCGGCCTCAAGTTCTCCCGCAGACGGGGCAGGAGGGCAGGGCTGGGTGCGCCTCACCTCCCCTACCTGGCCGCAATCAGCCCCGCCCTCTAATCCGGGAAGCTTTCCGATTGGTTAGGCTTCACTGACAGGCTGTCACTTTCCTTCCCCGCTCCCAGACGAATCCCTGCTTTGCCCTCCGGGATGCTGAATGGGAAGGGGTGGACCCCATATACCATCTCAGGGGCTGTTGGCGAGGAGCGGGTCTTGGGGGAGGGAGAAGCCCCCTGTGGAGCTAAGAAGGGAAAGTGCCCTCAGTGCAGCCTGGGCACTGCCCCAAGGCAGGTGGGAGGCAGGGGAGAGGCCTTTAGGGGGCCCACAAGGTACAGCGGGCAGGAGCTGAGGCTGGTGAGGGAGGAGCCAAGCTCTGCTTCCCAGGCAGCCCCAGACCCAGGCCAGGCGCACCGGAGTGGGGGACTCTGGATGGAGGAAGAGACTGTGCGCTGAGCAGGCAGTGAAGTGGCAGGGAGTGCAGCTGGGCCATGGAGGGAGGGGCACCCCAGGAGTGGGACCAAGGCCAGCCCCAGAACCCCCCACCGGAGAAGTGCATGCTGGCTTCCTCTCCCAGCTGCCATTCAGGAGCTGTGCGACCTCAGAAAGTCAACCTGTGCCTGCATTGTCCCCATGTGAAGTGGGGAGAGTGATGAGGTGTCCCTCATAAAGCAGCTGAGTTAGTGCATGGATTGCAGAGTTTTGAGACAAATGGGGAAAAGACCACAGTGGGGGGCAGTGGGGAGAGAACCCGGCCTGAAGGAATAGCTGGGCAGACCTGGGGACCAAGTAGGAGTTGTGCTCATGCCGGGGACTTGAAGCTCTGGGTGTAGATGTGGAAGCTAGAGGGGCCACTTTCAGCCAAACTCAGAGCGTCCCAGAAAGGGGCTCTGTGGGTGGGGTTTAAATAGCTAGAGGGGGATCTCCAGGTACCTGTGAGCGAACTGAATGCATAAAGCTGTCCCGAGGGGCTCTGGCCTTCCTGGGAGCACTCTGGTGGGAAGTGGACAGTAATTAGGGTGGACCCTGTGGCGTCAGTTCCTGGAGTGGAAGCATCCTGGAGCCAGCCCTCCAGGGCACAGCCACCGCCTCTCGCTATTGCTGCCCCAAGCGTGGATCCAGAGCTTGACCCCCAGGGAGGTCTTATCTGTGCCTGGATGCCCCGTCCCCTCGTCCCCTCTGTGTTTGTGGGGCTGCCGTGCCCTGCCCTCGGTTTCGTTGCAGATCTTGCTAAATTAGCCCCTGGACATAGAATCTGCCTCAGAGCCCAGGACTGTCCTGTCCACTGCCGAGGGTTCACATTGACCAATGAAGACGTCTGTATCTCAGGGCTCAGGGCTCTCCAGAGAAACAAAACCAACAGGACTATATATATAAATTCTCTCTCTCTCTTCTCTTCCTACTCTTCCCCTGGCTTCCGTGAATTTCCTCTCCTCCTTCTCAGAGGCCAGATGCCCTCTTAGTCTCAGGCAGAGCTGTCTGCACCATATCTTGAGTGCGTGGCCAGAGAGACACACAGTCCCCGGCTCCTACTCCCATGCCTTCAGCTTATCACAACATTTTCCCAAACAAGGACTGCTTCCTGCCTGAGAATTCTACCACCCGCCGTGAAGATCAAAACATTTCCCCTCATGTTAGCATCATGCCTGGGTTAGAGAAGTGTTCCGAGATCCTCCAGGAAACCCTCAGGAGGAACGTTTGTGACAAACCGGGAAGATATCAAGAGCAAGAACAGACGTTTTTAGACTCACAGAGCACATTACAGCAAGGAAATTTCCAATAAATCCTATTGTTTTTAGGAAATAATCTAGTTAAAGAGCTTCTAAATCAAAGGAAGGAAAAGGAGGGACAGGAAGAGGGAAAAAAGGAGGCTTCACCCGCAGGGGCCTTAGGGGAGCATCTGGGTCTTCCCCTTAGTATCATTATATGAGAGAGAGAGAGAGAGAGAGAGAGAGAGAGAGAGAGAGAGTGTTAGTTTATTTCAAGGACACTGGAGCCCACAGGTGGTGCAGAACTCCGAGGTCAGCCCTGGTTCCT